TTTTTTTTTTTTTTTTTAATTTTTCAGAAAGACTAATGGGAATGAGAAAAGAAGAGGAGATAAGGGAAGGGAAGATGGAGAAATGGGGTTACAATGGATTGCGGAGACCAAAAGGAGAAGTTGTATAATTAAAGTGTCTGTTGCCAATCATTTTTGTCCAACCTTGAAGCACCTAACTACCCTTGTCTCAAGATATTTTTCTATCCCTCTCTGTTCCTCAAATTAATTTTTGAATTCTCTTTTAGTAATCTACTTGTAGAGGTAACAGTTGCTTAAATATGCTTATTGAATTGAAAGCTACATTATTGATGTGTTTGAAATAATGAATATGGTTGGAATCTCTGTGAGTGGTCCAAATTACCAAGTGATGTAAGCCACCACTGCCTTGTTTTAGGTGAAGCCTTCAAAAGGGCAGATGTCCTGTCGGTAATTGTTTCAATCCTAGGCTTGCATTATGGAGCTGCTTTTGCCTTAATTCACCCAGACATCAAAGCAAGATGGGAGCCTTATTTGCTGGCTTTCAAAATCAGTTTTGGCCTATTTCTCCCACCAATATCAATATCAATCCCCCCAAGAATATCTGTTCTGCAGCAATACTGAGGACCATGCGATTACTTCTAAAATGATTTTTTTTTTCTTTTCAAGATAGAGGGGACCATAGCAGCTGATATCTTGCAATTAGTTTGATTTCCCCATCTATGGTCCTTATTTTCTCATACCAAATCTCACGCTTGATTAAAAAAATGAAAAACCGTTGCTAACTGCTCTGCTTGACCTCCTATTGCAGGCTAAAGCATAGATTAACTCTCTAAATATATGGAAAAAGATTTTAAAAAACATTAAACAAGCCATGACGGACGTAGTGGTATCTGATACTCAAGCTTGAATCTGTATAATGAAGGGAAAAAGAAAAGGGGCATAAAAATGGATCGACAAATGGTAAAGAAGTAAGCTTCTACTGCTCCAGTAAAGCATCTTTTGCTTCAAGAGTTAGGGGACCCCACGGCTTTGAAATGCCAGCACACTCCATCCTCTATACCCAGCTGTCCAGTCCTGCTTTAACCTCAAAAGACAGAGTTTCTCTATATTTTCTTCATTTGTAAGCATTGAGATTGTTTGAAGAATTCTTCAAACAAGACAGGGAAATTTACTGCATTGTCAGGAGCTAGCCATGATGATGGGATGAGAGTTACCGGAAGGGGCACAAAGTTCTGTTGCATGAAACAAGGCTAATGGCAGATGAGACTGAAATGATGGGAGTTGTAAGGTAACTCTTGACAATGATGAAAATGAAACCAAAAAACCAGGTACAATTATATTAATTGAAAATCAATCAATGCCTTTACAGCTTTCCCTCATTCCCCAGTGCCCCACTCAGAAATAACATCTCGCCTAATTTGCAGCCCAATTAAATAGTAATTTGGGCTAAAATTATTCCTAGAAACTTGAGCCAACATATAACATTCATTAAATTGTTTTCTTTCTGAAAGTGTACAGGGAATATGTCCTTAGTTGGGGCATAACCTTGCAAAATTGTTGTAAGTGGTGAACGCAGGTTCCCCCTTTCTTCAATACAAATGAAATTTCAAAAAAAATAAAAATAAAAAATAAAAAGAATGATAGATAAAGAGCAGAACAGAAGCATAAACACCCCAAGTTAGGTTAAAAATACTTTTCTGTTTCAATGCCTTCCCAAACATCTAATTACTCCTCATTGTCAACCGGCATAGGTGCAAATTTTGGCCAATTCTGTGTCCATGTATTGGCCTCTACCATTTTTGGAGTCAAAAGAGATACGAAATGGATAAAGGATACGCCCTCCAGTACTTAAAGCAGATTCAGAGGCGACATTAGACACAGGAATGGCTAATGCATCTCCAACCATTTATCTTCCACCGATACAATATGTCAAAGTTCTTATCATCTGGCTCATGTTTATCATCTTTAAGTACCTTTCCAATTCTGACGTCCCCTCTTTGCATTGTGATTCTGCCCTTCTTTTGTATTTTGGCAAGGCATACGCTACTACATCACCGGCATCATCAGTCTCCTCCTCCTTCATTGTTGCTTGGGAACTAGAACTCGGTTCTTCATTACAACTACCGACAATTGAAGCATGATGCTCAAACAATGCATTTAATATGCATCCCAACACCAAACACAACATGAAAGTAGTTTTTGCCTGTGACACGCAAAGAACCAGAGAAGCGCAAAGTGGACTCATAGAAGGTATGCAAAAAAGTCATGAATCCACGAACAAAATCCCAATCCTCGTCAGTAGACAAACCCCCATTTTTTGCTGCCCTAAGCTCGGCTTTATATTTGACATCTGGTTCCTCTAACCTATCAAAAGCTTTTCGAAACTTCAAAATAGCTTCCAATATCAAGTAACTTGAATTGCACCTAGACAAACGAGGCTTTTACTCGTATTTTTCTTGCTACACACAATTTTAAAGCTTTGCAACTTTGCAGGGGATCACCTCCCATACCTCACAACAGACCTGATTCGAAAGATTGAATCATCACCTTTAGGCTAAACATGTTTCCTCTAACCTATCAAAATCTTTCAGACCCTCTTTCACAGTAAGACTAAACATGTTTGCACAACACCTCATGTAAATGTTCACTCTTTCAAACACTACCCTTCCAATTCTCAAGTCTTTTTTTCTCACATTTGGGCAACCAAGGTCATTAGATCTTGCTTATCTACTGTGATAGTGAGAACTTTATCTTCTTCCCATTCAAGCAATGCATTTTCCAATCAACTGGAATGATTAAGAATTGGACTGAAATTCGAGATCCTATGGTATCCATTCTTGATCAATGAAATGACTGAGATTTTGCCTAGAATTTCAAATATCAGTACTGAGGCAAACTCTTAGCTTTGATCTTTTCAAGTACATGAAAAACTTTCTTTCTCACTCAAAAAAATGTCATAGCAATTCTTAGCAATAGTGAACCACGAAGGAACTTGGAATCGAGGTTGCATAATGCTACAAAAGTCATGAAATCCCTCATGCTGTACCACCCTAAAAGGGAACTCATCCAGAATGATCATCCTAGCACAATATTTTCTACAAGCTTCTTGGTCAAATTTCCAAGTAACAAGTGATGAACCGCTAATATTTTCTCCCTCGTCCCAGATGATATAGCTCTAAAACTTAGGGTCTTTGGATTATTGTTAATGTTGTTCAAAGTTAGGGAACTTGTACCAGGACACTTCAATTACTTTACCACAATAACCGCAAGAGGCTTTTTGGTCAGCAATGTCCATACAAGGCAACTTGGTAAGATGGCCCCATACCATGGTAGTTACACATCCCAATTTGCCTTTAGGTGGGTTTGAAGCATCTGATGGGAGACGGGTAGTGGCATCAGCTGGGTCATTAGCTGTGGTTGCTGGTGCAGCCTGGGCCGTGAGTCTGGAGGTTGCTGCAACTGGTGGGATCCCGGTTGAAGGGTTCCGAACACTGGAGAGCATGGGTGGTGACTGATCACAAGCACTTCGACCTTGGCCCATGTTATAGTCAGCGGGAGTGCTCGATGCTGTTGAATCCATCCAGCTATCTAAACAAGGACCAAACAGAACATGTTAAATGACAAGTTGAATATGAGAAGCTATTGAAATTACAAAAAGAAATATAGTTAACCAATCCAGAAATTAAAGCTTTTCAATCTAGTATTTTGAGCAAGCTTTGGCAACAATTCTTAGAAGCTACTACTTTATGAGTTAAAAAAGCTTTAGAAGCTAGTATTACTGTCCCCATGAACCGAAAGACCAAGAAGAAAATTTCCAAAAGTTTCATGTGCATGTGCCGGTTATCAACTTAGCATTACAGCGTGTAATCATGCACTGTACAGTAAACCATGTGCCACAACTACCGCTTGGACCACCTCACTATGATTATTCCTAGAAAATTTGTCTGGTTACTTTCAGGATCACAGTTTTTTTTTATTTTAAAAAATATAAAGTATTTAAATTTTTTATTTAATAGAAAGGATATATAATTCCCTCATTTACTTAAAAAACTTTTGAAAAAATTATTACTTACAGTTTTATGAATTATTCAATTTAATTAATTAAATTTTTATTTTCATTATATTTTTTAGCTGATGTTTAATAATTTTTTCGGAATTGAACTTATGTTTAATAATTAATTAAACAATTTTACTAATCAAAATAGACACATAATAGTAAAAAAGTAACTAAATAAAATAATTGAATGTGAAAATTTATATACGGCCTGCCCAACTCTCTCCTCTTTAAAAATTATGGTTGTTCCCGGCAAGCATGCTTCAACCAAACTCAAGGTTGGGTCCGAGTTGATCCGGCCCGCTTTCTCCCCTTCCCGCTTTAGGGCGAGAGGTCCCAAGTTCGATTCTCCGGGCGCTCCATTCTTCCTTCATTGGAGGTTTGGAATAAATTTTTTATTGCCCCAATTGGTTTTCTCTTGCCCGGAACGTTCTAATCTCTAGCCCATCGTCTGCTTCAATGTCAAATGGTTAAACCCAAAACCCTCAACTGTAACTTGTCGCAAAAGAAGCAACTTTTAACTTGGAAATTCTCTGTCTTGACGTCTACACCAAAGTGAAAACCTTCAACAACCATCTGGACCAGGTAAAAATGGAAATTCCTTGATTTCATTTAGAGCATGTTTGGTTGGAGCAAGCAATTTGGTGTCTTAGGGAATCCGATAAAATTATTTGGTTTTAATCCAACTGTTCATTGGATTCCAATTTAGATATATTGGAAAGATTTGCCCTTTAGAAAGTGAGCAGAGAAAACCCTTTGGACATGTGTTTGCAACAAGTTTTTTTCAACACACGTTAAGTTTAAGAACGATGATTTCGTATATTTGTTTGGTTCTAGACACAAATTGGGTTTTGCAGTTTACTGGCTTGCATTGCTGAAACCAGCTACCTCTTCTTGCAGGCACTCTTGAGCTGGAAAAATTTCCATCACCAATATAAATATATAAAGAGAGAAATAGGATGGTCTTTGGGCAAGTGGTGATTGGTCCACCTGGATCAGGGAAGACTACTTACTGCAATGGCATGTCTCAGTTCCTCAAACTTATTGGAAGGTTGTTTCTATTTCTCGCTTTTAGTTTCTTCATTTGAGCATGCACTCTTGTTAGATAGATTGTTATATGTGCCAGAAGTTGACTATTCCCATGCCATTGTTCATGCAGAAAGGTTGCTGTAATCAATTTGGATCCAGCCAATGATATGTTACCGTATCCTTCAAATTGGGAGTTATTTATAATGTTGTTTTCTTTGTCCTACAAGTTTTGTTGACCTGAAATGCCCTTGACATGAATATAGTTATGACTGTGCTATCAATATTGAGGATCTCATAAAACTAAGTGATGTGATGGCGGAGCATTCTCTGGGGCCTAATGGAGGTGCACCCTTTTTTTTTCTTGTTTACCGCTTTATTTTGGTCTACTACTGTATCAAAAGGATTCAGAAATTCCCATCAGATAAATCATAAAATGAGTAAATCAAGGCAGGTGGCATTTCTAGAAGGGGTTGATGTTTTAATTTATTTGTCCTGCCTTTTATAGATTCTCTGTTGATCAGTCAGAGGAATTTCTGCGGATCAGAATTGTAAATGCTGGTTCTGTTGATATTTCCCTAAAGATCTCAATGACTGTGCTGTATTTGATGGTTTGTTGTGGGATACAGAATTAATTGGAAGTGCATGGATTGTGTTTTTACTCATTATGATGTTCAGATTTGATGGTCCGATGGTATCTAATGTATTTTTTTGCGTACAACCAGGTCTTGTCTATTGTATGGATTTTTTAGAGAAGAATATTGACTGGTTGCAGTCTAAACTGGAACCTCTTTTGAAAGGTTGGTATCTTCTGCCTCTTCTTCTTCTTAATAGTTTGGACCATTATCTTGATTTTGTTTGATAAATAGCATAGCATGCATCTAGTTATAAAGACCATACATCTTTCTTAAAGAATGGCTTATGGTGTTGATGCATGCAGAACAATTTGAGCTTGTCTTTGATAAAGAGCCCCAAGCATGACTGAACAGTCAAGTTTGTGCATTTCTGTGTTTGCAGGTTTTATTTCTCTAGGAAACCAACAATAGGAACATGTAGAAGGCATTAACCACTAATGACATATTAATGCTTTAATGATTAGAGTTTCTATATTGGACTAACATGTGCATTTTTATCCTTGTGTAACAAGATAATTGACATCTTGTTTTGGGCAAGAAACTATTTGATATCTAGTGTACTCTGAAGTAGGTATAGTGAAGTTATTGGTTGATATATTTCTCTATTTCGTTACTGCACCTGTTGTTATGCAGGGATTAGTAAGTTTTTGTACTTATTACAGTTATATTTCTCATGATTTTTATAATTTGCAGATCACTATCTTCTGTTCGATTTTCCCGGCCAGGTTGAACTATTTTTTCTTCACTCAAATGCCAAGAATGTTGTCATGAAGCTCATTAAAAAGTTAAATCTTAGGGTATGGTCCTGGCGTTTGTCTTAGTAGCATGTGACCTAAAGGTGACTTCAGCTCATTATTTTGATGTTATGATTGTAATCTGAGTTGAGTTATTTATTTTATGCAGTTGACTGCTGTACATTTAGTTGATGCCCACCTCTGCAGTGACCCTGGGAAGTATGTTAGTGCTTTGCTTCTCTCTTTATCTACCATGTTGCATTTGGAGCTTCCACACATCAATGTCTTGTCTAAAATTGACCTCATTGAGAGCTATGGAAAGCTGGGTGAGTTTGTAGTATCAATTCTGTTCCAAGCCTCAAAGTGGTTGGAGTCACGGCTAATCATCTTGTCTTGATGTGTTGCAGCTTTCAATCTGGATTTCTACACAGATGTGCAAGGTTTATCATATTTGCAGCGCCATCTTGATCAGGATCCCCGCTCTGCTAAGTATAGGTTTGTTATGGCAGACTTGTTAACTTTGTATTTTAAACCAAGCATAAGACATTAAATTTCCTTTGTTGATAAGTTTAAATGTTAAGAGGTTTTTGATTAAAAGTTTAAACTTCTTTGGTTTTGGATGAAGTCCTTCATATGTTGATCTGGACTGGGATTCATAAACTTATCCTCAATTTTACATTTTGATGCTTATATATATAGCATTGAGGAGATGATATTGCATAAAAGTTGGAATTTTCAGAGGCTGACATTGAAATGCAACTATGAGATGAAACCATAATTTCTTTTCATGAAGTCTTGTTTGGTTGACAGTTCATAACCAGGCTAGTTGCTGTTAATGTATTCACCCTAAATCTTAGCTTCCCCTTAATTTTAGAGCTCTTCTTAATCATCTAAATTCTTCTTGCAGAAAACTTACAAAGGAGCTTTGCGACGTAATTGAAGACTTTAGTATTGTCAATTTCACAACCTTAGATATTCAGGCATGCCTGTAACTGCAGCTTTCTTGAGTTAACATCGTTCATATTTTCTGCATTTTATAGCTTTATGTGGATTTTCTGTTAAGCACATTCTCCTTTCAGGATAAGGAGAGCGTTGGGAATCTTGTGAAGCTTATTGACAAGAGCAATGGATACATATTTGCTGGTATAGATGCCAGTGCAGTTGAATTCAGCAAGATTGCAGTACGACAAGTTGATTGGGATTATTACAGATATCCTTTTATCTACATGGATGCCCTTATCCATGTAGCATCAGAAAGTGTAGCTAACATGCGTTGTGAAGTACTTTAGAGCAATTAGGCCATTCTACAGAAATTTTTGGGCCTGATAGATAAATTCTAACTGTGTTTATGGCTTGACTTTGCTTTTTCCTTGATCATTGGTTATCCTACTCTACCATAGTTTTTAATGTTTCAATTTATTGATGGTTTTATAAGTTTCTCTTAACGAATCAGTTCACAGCTGCAGCGGTGCAAGAGAAGTACATAAAGGATGATGAAAATTTTGATGATGATGATTGAGAGTGCTTTTTGGTGGGAGAATGGTGTGTGCCTAAATTGCCTACGGGTCAGCTAGTTGCTTCCTTGTATATGCCTTCCCATTTTTGTTCTTGTCTATATGTGCTTTTTATGCATTCAAGCTTGTTAAGTCCCGAGTTTATATGGCTTTTGATTTTCTTATTGTAGGTCTTGTGGTCTGACAAAATTAAGATAGTGGATCAACAGGATATACAACAATGACAATTCCTCTCTTGTTTCTTTTTTTTCCCCTATTGTTTAAAATCCCATTTTAAATTTTGCATCATACCCTTGTACTTCAATTTTGTATAATAAAAATATATATATTTAAAAAAAAAAGAGGAAAAACTTTACAAGAAGGTGCCCCTTCTAAGAATATTAAAATTAAGAAACTTCAATTAGAGGGAATGGTGGCTTGTGGAGAGCTTGTTTCTCCTGCAATAAACGAATGTTTCCACCATTGTCCTCGTTTGATTTCATTCCCTTTTCCCAGTGTTTGAGAGGTTTAAAGGATCTTCCAAACGAAGCGTTTGGACATAGTCAGACTACACATACGGAGTGATAACAACCAAAGTCAACAAAAGTAAGCACATACGGGTCTTTGTTTGATTTGGACTTTTGCATGTACATTGCCCAGAATATTCTCTCTACTACGTTTCAAAGCAATGGTTTCTACCATGTGTACGATGAATATGATGATAACTACAACGTTTCCCTGAAGAAATTTGGACCTCTTCGTCTTGGAAAAATCCAAAGCCATATATTTAAGGAGGAAGTCATTGTTTTTGGATAGGTATTGGGTTCCATTTCTATTCTTCTCTGGTCTCCCAGCAATTGGAGAAACACCTTGCTTTGGCATTGTGTTAGTAGTCTCACTTTGCCTTGCAATGAAACAGACATGTCACGTGTCGGCAACAATGTGTAGGGTATAACAAATTGGAACCTCCAGTTCATGTTAGGGATAAGCAAAGGTTTTGTCTCTGGGCGTTATCAATTATTTTTCAAATTTATTATGCATTTCCCTAAGTATGATACATAATTTTGTCTAATTGTATGATAATTTTGAAGAAATGTTGTCTAGTCAACTCCGCTTAAGGAACCATCAATTCATCAAAAATTTTGTTCTTGTTTTGACTCTTCTTTCAAGGGCCCCTTCTTCAGATATTTTGCCCCCTGAATTTGCTGAAATCCTTAGCGATTGAAGGATAAATATAACACGTGTTTTCCACCTGTGTACTCATACAAATCAAAACAGGAAAATTAATATATGACATAAGAATAAGCCGAGAATATGTTTATTTACTTCTGAAAAAGGAGAGGAGTCTCCAAATAAACAATGGAATGCGACTTTCATGGTTAAGGTTTTAAATGGGTTAAACGTTTTGGTTTGATCGACATGCTCTGCATAGGTGAGGCGGAATTCAAACGAAAACCCTGAACTCGAGGTATAATGCTATATACTTTATATAACAAAATAGAATATGTAAGACTTAAAGTGATATTCTCCTTAATTATTCTTGTTTCCAACTTGAGGATTATTAAACAACCTAAGAAGAATAAAAATCACTTGAATGAAACCAGGTAATTGTGCAGAAAACTAGCAGTCTAAGATTTCATATGAGAATAGCAAATCTACAGATGCAGATCATGTGAAAGACAGCTGAATCCAGGTGCCGGCCGAATGATCCCATGTCCACATTTTCACCTAGCCAACTAATCCATATCGTTTTCAACTGTCAACTAATTCTTGGGTGTTTCATCTAGAAAGTATTTGCCTAATAATTACAGTATAAATGATTATAATAACTCCACTATTGTTGCATCATCCTTTTGATTATAGGTCAATAATAATCCAATACCATTCCAAGCCCTCAGCTCCAAGCAATAGTTATGTTTAAAAATTTAGCCCTTTATAGATTATTCAATGCGGCAAACTTTTTCTACACATTCATTCATGGTCTAGAAAGAATAAACTTGACATAGAGCAGCATACTTACCCCTTCTCCAAGTCTACAATTATTATTTTTATCGTTCCCTAGGACAAGTCAAAGGATATCGAAATCCATGAGGAAACTTCTATTACTCGGAGGGATTTCTTTGTGTTGTTTTTTCAAATCATTAAATTTGACTTGGTTGGTTTGGATCCAGTCTTGTCACAGGACTTCTTTTATTAAGTCCTGTGGCTCTCCCTTCCCTCTGTCTCAATCGAAAACAAACGAAATCCAAAGTCTTGAACAAGAACTTTCCCCATAAACCACCTTCAGATGTTTCAGCCTTTTATCTGCGGCGGCAGTTTCAATCATCAAGAAGAGGATGATGATGATCAGTTTTGGAGCAGCCCAAATTCTACACCAAGAAAATCAAGAAGAAACGGCTTTTGTAAGAACAACCACAGGGATAACAAGAACCCTTACTCGAACCGTGGCCTTGACAAGTTTTCTGCGCTCTTAGCTGAACTTGAAGAGAAGAGGCAAAAGATTTACTCACAGACAGATTCACAAGACATATCGTTCGTTCGATTTATGTACAAGAACTCGACAGATTGTGTCCCGATTGTGGTAAAGCTCAAGGACAAAAGAGAAGAAGAGAAAATATTGAAACCTGTTGATACCCAGGGTCAGCCTGGAACGAATATGGACTCAGAAGTCTTGGATAAGCATCCAATCGAAACCTTAGATGAAGGGAAAGAAGTAATCAAGAAGATATCAAGATTGCAAGCAGTTAGTGAAAAGACTGAGAAGAAGAAGAAGAAGAATAAAAAGGGCTCTTCATGGAATATGGATTTGCAAAAGTGGAGACGGCCTTCTTATTATTTACCAGCATTTGTAGTCTTGATTTTGTTGCTGTTGGTGTTTTTCGGAAGATCAGTTACAATATTATTTACTTGTATTGGGTGGTACATAGTTCCTACAATTCAAGGAAAGAGTTCCAGCAATGTTACAAGATCAATGAAGAAGAAAGAGTATGGCAGAAAGTCGAGTGCAAACAAGTTGGTCAGTTAAGGATTTTCTCCTCCAAAGAGTTACAAATCATCTCCGGTACGTGATCACCATCGGAAAAGCTGATCAAGAAGATTATCTGATCTTCTTCTTCTTCTTGTTTCTTAATTCTTTTGGATTTTTTTTTTTGATCTTGTGTCATTAAATGTAAATTCCATTTCTTGCTGTTGTGTTTCGGGGTTGGCTTGAAGAATTCAGAATTCAGAATTCAATCAGTCTTGGACATGTTCTACAGTGTAAATCTTTGTCTATAAAGTTGAATTAGAATTAGAGAGAAATTCTAATTCAGGTTGCTTGATGAAAATTTCTTGGACATGAAACTTTGATTATGGGAAATTCCAAATGTTGATTTTGAATATTTTAAAGTCAAATATCTTGTGAATGACGTGGAGCATCTTCATGTGATTCTTGCTTTGATCTAGATGGATAACAACAGATTGATATAAATTGCTTTAATATTTTAGATATAAAGACTCACAAATGAGCTGCCGGGCCATTTATAAATATATGGGTAATGGATTTGAGCAGTTGAAACTTGAATTAAGTGCTACCCAAATCCACCCAAAAGCCAAATCAGCTCTAGCTAAAACTCACCCAAGGGTTTCGGAGTCCAAGCCCAAATCCCCCAAAGTCAGAAAACCTTTTAGACATACGGTCAGTTCTAGCCCAAACCATGGATTTCCATATCTTTAGTGTTTAACCCAAAACCTTAGAACTCTTTTTCTAGTACGATCCCTTAAGATTTAGTGGAAATAAGAATAAAACCAAAAACATATTCCGAAACGGTTAAATAAAAGAACCCACTGAGTCCCAATTTTGGGGCAATAAATCCATAAATACTTTGTCCATGACATGCCGTTCAGTACATTTATGAGACCGCAATGATGGTTAAAGCATCAAATTACCAATTGTCTGTACAAGATGTGCTGAACTCTAGCATCATCTCAAAAAGAATAAAGAGAGGTAAGGAGGGCGCGGGCGCAGCAATGCACAAGCTTCCCACATTGCATCACTCCATGGGATTATAAACATAAATCTTTGAGGATATCAAAATGCAAATGCAAAAATCCATCCGTCATTTAGCTGCAATTCTGTCCTAGTAGATCAATCTACATAAATCTTTTAAAATGTGCAGCAGTATCTCTATTCCTGCATTCAAAGAAGAAAAGAGGATCACAATCTACATAAATGAATAACTGCTACGGATGGAGTCAACCAACTTAAAAACCAGTATTGATGCGAGATAGACGATTTGAAAAAAATATATAAGAAAACCTATTTAACCCCTAATTTATCATTGGTTAAGATGAACACTGACCTTAAACCTCTTTCTGCGTCTATCATTGGTAGTGAACTGAGATACATGAGGTTCACGTCTGGGAGCTTCAGTTCTGTATCTTACTACTGCAGGTTCCTGCATCCGGCTGCTCTTCTCTTGATTTTGACTTCTTGAATTCCGGAAAAGGCCATCCTTGTCCCATTTTACCTCATAATCAGCACTTAATCGAGATCCTTGCTGATCAATAGTGAATCAGATTGGATATCAGCAACTACTGATTATAGTTGTTAAATAATAAAATTTATAAATACAATTGAAACCTCGCCCCAATCCACAACCATTTAAACTTAGCCATGCTACTGAATAACTCAAAAAAAGTCTCATCTTTGATATCACATTTGACAACACCAAAATGACGAGCACAGTCAAGTATCAACCATGCAATACTTTCTTTTTCCCATTTCAGACTTAAGACACTGATAAGCTCTTGTGTGGAAACCAAAGGACTAGTGGTGGTGTGCCATTGAATCCACAGCATAGACACAACTAAAGCCATGGTTTGCAAGGCTCAGGAGCAAAATACTCCCAAGGTATAATAATAAAAGGGAAATCAAGGACTGAACTCATACCTTTTGTAATGAGCGACCACATAGCACCTTAAGTGCATTATAGAAATCCCGGTATTTCTCAAACTGAACCACGATCTTACAGTGAAGACCTGAAACTATGTCTAAGTCATCCTCATCTGTCCCCTTACTGAAATCATCGTCCTCAGCAACATTAAGATTCCTATTGAGGATTAAACGAGCAACCACAAGAATAACGTACAATCAGGTAATATTCATAGAGTAACATTAACAAGAACAAACACAATATATTCTACATGTAGCAATTAGTGCATGCTACCATACCGGAACCATATGAAAAAAGTATTACAATAAAGGTACATGGTATTAGTCTATCACAAATTCATATTGTATTTATCAGTCTTCATATGTAAGAGAAATGTTATAAGCATCTAAAGCCAATGACTCTCCTAAATACAAAATAGAGTAAGAATCTAAATGACCACGATGACAACAATAAGCAATGAAATCCAAACATCAATGACTCTCCTGATATCATGTACGTGTATTCTGACACATTTCATCTAGCTCATGCAATTAACTATGGTGGCGGTAAGTTTCCAACTTTCGCATCGTTCTAAAAGCATCAGGAAAACTACATTTATTCATTGGCACCATAGAGTTTCCACACATTCAACAACTAAGGCTTCACATAATTACTAGAATTCGATAAACAGCAAAACAAACAAAGCAACTAAAGAAAATGAAAAAAAGGAATTACCTTATCTTCCCAAATGCTGAAAAAATAGTATGTGTCACCAACATCGACGGCTTGGATGAAACTCTTGGCTCTGCGAACCACCGCGATGGAACCCCTCTCAACACAATCGTATCAGGTTCTTGCCTTCCTCCCCTCGAATAACCTACAATCAAAATTCAACTTAAAAAAAAATAGTTAAAATTCTTAAACGAAAAAGCTTGCTACAAACCTCGATTTCCAAACGCGTATAACTCCTCCCAGCCTTTCCTCATTCTATCAAAGTCATCCGAAACTGGAATTTCAACACTAAGATTATACTTAACTCCTTCAAGATTAAGCTCAATCCCGTCCATTTTCTCCGCTACGTACCTTCTCCAATCCAAAACCTTCTTTTCCAATTCCTTCACATCCTCTTCTTCATTATCACTCTCTTCACTCTTCTTCCTACCATTCAAAAACCCGAGGTCACGAATGAACAGCGCGCCGTGGGCGACCGGCTCGTCTCGCTTCCGCTTCTTGAGGTCTTTGAGCCGTCTGATTTGGAGGTCTTCTTCGGGGACGGTGACGGAGACTGAGAGTGAGGTCTTGAGAAAATCTATTAGGGCTCGCTTTAGCTGCCATTCGTCAATGGGCTTCGAAATGGAAGGGAGGGAAGGGTGGATTGTGAGATTGAGTTTCACGCGCGGAGCAAGTGACAGACCGTTCTCGATTTCTAGGGTTTCCGTTGGCGGCAGTGTCTCTAACGGTCGCATTTTTCCGTTTCGTACAATCTTCCAAGTTTCGAGCTTCGTCTGCAAATCCTTTTTGTTAGGGTTTGAAGGGGAAATATCAGCTTAAACGATGACGTATACATGTTCAAAGGCTTTGCTTCGAGGAAAGTATAAGGAAACGGACAGAGTAAGAAAATACTAACCAAATTCCCCCGAATAACGCAGGGCTCATGTAAAAAGACAGCGGAGTCCTCTATTTATGACGTGGCAATTTTCCATTGGCTAAGAGTGGAGCTTAATAAGTACGCGGAACCGCAATCTATAAAGTAACGGGCAAGCCAAAGTCAAAGCTCGAAGGGAAGAGAGAAGAGAAGGGAGGGAGAGGGTAGAGAAAAAAGTATGGGGTGTTTCCCTTGCTTCGATGGAGGAAACAAAGAAGAGCGAGAGGAGCAAGACCGATTGGCCTCTGCCGAAGCTCGTGCCAAAGCCGCCGAGGCTGCTCAGAAAAGGTAATTTAATCCCCTTTTTAATTTCTCAGCCAATCCTTTCGTTTACTATTCACCTTTCTTTTCTTTACATATTCGGTTGCTTATGTTAGCATTTAGGCTTATCAGCAATTTAGCATAATATTAGCATATGAAAAATATGGGTTTCTAACAGTTTATTCTCATTAAACTCTTCACAAGTTTCCGTTTCTAGGCATTGCAATCGAAGATTGATCCTTTTGTTGTCGAAAATTGCTTGGCTTTTTAATTTTGATCAGAACAGTGAAATTCCCTGCAGAAATTTAGGGCTTGCAGTTATGTTTTGGAAGAATGAAAATTAGTTTTAAATTATTTCCTTATTGAAATTGTGATATGAATTTCTAACAGTAAAGTAATTACATCTAATTGTGTGCCCTGTAATTTGTGTGGGAGGCTTGTGTAGTTGTGAAAGAACCTGGATTAATCCTGGTTTGATCATTTATATCAAAGAGAGAGATGCAAGATAAGAGTATTTGGAGGCTTTGTGATGGTTTATTTATGGCATCTTTTTTAACATTTCAATTATTGATCAAAATTTCAGGCAAGAGCAGTTTGAACAGTCAGCTGCAGGAAGAGCTGCGCGTGCACAGATACAAGCGGCTGCAAAGCAATCTGCAAATTCTAATAAAGGCGAACCTGTTTTAAAGGTTCTTAACTAATATGCTCATGTAGTTTCAACTAGGATGGTTTTAATTCTGGTAGGGTTTTGGTTTCTGTTAAAAATAAATCTGCTTGCATTTGCCTAATAAAGTGGGGAGGGAGGGTGGATGGGGAAGATTGGGAAGATTGGGAGTTTCACTCCATCTTATTGAGGCATGATCTTTCCTCTTGGATGCCCTTGTCCAACAATCTCATGCAATGCTGCCCCTAGCACTCTGATAATAGTTTCATTCTCTTAGGGATAATTTCCATGCTTTTAACAGTTCAGTAACGATATACAAATATAACCCTTTTGTTGGTGATTTGTTGCAGTGGCAGGTGGGTTGAAGTCTTGCTTAGTCTCTGTTCAGCCTAAACTGATCATGTATAAATTGGTAAATCTTTCTACTTATTTTTAATTAACCATTTTGTTGTGAGATTTGCCATCAATGTTTCAGCATTTCTTGAATCAGTTGGTTTTCTTGTGTATGTATATTTTGATTTCCACTTTGGTAATATTATGCATATCACCGTCAAGAATTTAGTACATCAGAATGGATTTTCTATCATGTGATCATGGCATCCGAAACTCATGTTTTCTGATGTATAATATTACATCAGATACCATTTGTAGCTTTATGCAGGAGAGTTTGAGATGATTTCAAGTTTACTTAATTCTGCACTTTGCAAGCTAATTGTTTTCTGTCATGCAGGAATATACTCAGATTGTAGTTTCCACATTGCTGGTTCCTCTTGTTCTGAAGCAAGTGATGTACTACAAATGCAACAATAATCAAATTCCTTTTTTTTTCTTTCGAGTGTAATGTATGAGAAATCCAAGATGAAGTCGAAACTGTAGTATGATGTTTTTCTTCTTTCTGTACAGCCTCAGCCTTTTTTTGATTTCCTGTACAAACCCCCCACCCCGCTCCTCTCTAACTTCTCTGCAGGTAGTGTTTTATATGCCTAGTTTTTTCTGATTTCATGGCTGTTATTAATATAGTAGAAAAAGTGTGCATGTTGGTTAAATAATGCAGTCAAATTTGGGTGCTGGGGTGTTTAAATTAAATCTTTTGCTATACAATTTTTGCAAGACAAATCAAAATTGACACTAAGTTTAATCACCTTAGTTGTAACTCAAAATTCAAACCACAAAGGGAAGAGTAACATTACAGTCTATGCTGATTGAAATGACACCCTGTGCCTATGACTTTTAAGCTTCGAACTGCATAATTAACTATGCAATGGCAGTATGCCAGTGCCTTTTAAGCCCAAAAAATTATAACAATTATTGTGGAAAAGAATTTGTAGCTGATTATCTCTCCATTGCTCCTCTAAAAAAATAGAATAAAATAACAGCTTGTGGCTAGGTCATCAGCTATTGACAAATCAAAATAGTGTTGGAGGAAAACCTGTGACTTAAAGTAAGAACTTTGATATTAACAGAAAAAAAAAATTGAAGCTACAGGGTAGGAGCTTGCTGTACATATTAGTGGGACATCATTGCAGAACAACGGTGAGTAGAAGCAGCAAAATTGACTTTGATAATTCAACGTGAACCAGCTGAAATTCGCTGACCTTTCAATAGATGAATGGATAAACCTTATTCTAGAAATTGCCTGCTAAGTCCTGACTAATCAAATTCCAACATCATGTAAAGGCTTCAACAGGAGCTGATAGCTTCAGCTCATAGGCAGCTTGGAAAAAGTCTGCTGCTTGTTGTAACGAGCCTTCCATTTTTGCAATCAATCCGAGGTTCATCCATGCATCGTGATTTGTGGGATCTAACCTTAGAGCATTCATTAAAAAGCTTCTTGCAATTGGGAGTGATTGGGTGCCAAGGTTTATAAGTACTGCCGCAGTTGAGACAATGCTGGGCACATAGTCTGGTTCCATTGACAGTGAAACTGAGAAGGATACCAGGGCCTCTCTATAAAGTGATTGGGCTTCAAATAACAACCCTGCGGAAACAGCTTGGAAATTAGAAGGGAAGTGCATTATTGGCTTTATAACAAGCACGCAGTGATTGATGGGATTTCTACCTGTTGTATGCCAACTTTTGGGTGAATAAAATTCAATTGACTTGGCTTTGTTTAGACATATTTCTGCATCAGCCCATGATCCAAATTTGGTATAAATAGTAGCTAGATCTTTCCAGGCAGCCATTTCCATATTTTTTTCCGCTTCACTCTGTCAGAGACATAAGATATGAAGAGGATCAGAAACATTTTGCCTTACTCTTTCCCCAAATGTAGGGTTTCTTTTTTTCTCTTAGTACGAGGAATAACAGAAAGCTATGAACTTATCTCACTGAAACAAGATCTAAAATGAGCGAGTATTTTAAGTTAACAATAAGCATAATCCAAAGCCTAAATATCAGATTCATTGCAAATGCATAAGATACTGTGATGTAGATTCATGCTGTTGTTTAAACCCAAAGAACTCATACCTCGGAATCAGAACTTTGTGCATGAATAGTGTTATTAGAATGAGGTTCTCTTTGAGCTTGAATCAGAGATAGCAAGATTCGGTAAGTTTCAATTGCTTGCTTGGGCCGTTCCTGAGCAATCTGAAGCACAGCTTTTAACCTAAGAAGCTCTAACTGATCCAACCTCCCAGCTTCATCCAAAGCAAAGTCAAGTATGGTTTCAGCATCTTTGAACCGCTTGTCTCCAGAAAGTATTAGTGCTAATAGCCTCCAACCTCTTCCTGAGTTTTCTGTAACCATGTTAGAGTACATCATTGCATTGTCAAAGGCCACATCCAAATTCCTCTGAACTGCATTTTCCAAACTGAGGTTAAACAACACTTCTGGATCTTCCCTTATGTTGAGAGCAGCAGAGTTAAGAGAGGTCAAAGATTCTTTCTGAAGGAGAGCTCTTTCAGAATCTGATATGGAAATTCTAGCAGCATTCCCATAGCAAACACCAAGGAACTTATGGGCTTGACCCTTGAAATGTTCATTCACTTGATCTGCCAAATCTATCGCATTACGGGCAAAAGTTATTCCATAGTGAGCATGCTTTGGATCTTGAGAAGATAACTTTGCACCAAAGAGTAGAGCAGGGACATGAGGTTTGTGCTTTGCTTCTGACTGGCCAGAAACCTTCTTTAATAAGTTCAATGCTACCTCATCCTGACCAGCAGCAGCATAACAAAGAGCAAGAAGGTACCACCTCTCAGCTCTTTCATAGATACCCGGAAGGGCCTGCTCCAAATAACCTGCTAATAATTCAAACTGCCCAGTAACTGAGAGAGCGAAAGTCAGATGATCAATAATTTCTGCATCCCACTTTATTTCTCCAAATGCCACTTTTTGCATAAGTACTAGAAGGAGAAGAATTGCTTCCTCTGTATTACCATTAGGGGTGGTTGAACCCCATACCTTTAAGTGAGGAGGGAGGTTTGTTTCAACACCACCATAAAGTAATGTGGCAGCTAAGTTTTTTTGTACACTTGCTAACCTCTGGGGATCCAAATTCCAAGGCTTAACTAAAGCCCGGCGATATGCAGTTACAGCTTCATCTAGTAAACCTGCCTTCATCCATAGATTAGGGAGCAACTCTAATGCTTTGTGAAACATCTCCTGCAACTTGCAATCTTCACCAATACCCTCGCGCATTCCATTAGGTAGTGCTGCCTCAACTACATCCAAAATTATTTTGCACTCCTTCGCAGCCTCTGATCAATGAAAAAGTATCAGAACCATTCAAACCTTATTTAACAACAGAATTAAAAGTAAAACAGAACCATCCACCCAATGCAATCCTACTTATGAAATCCTTGATCTTCAATAAGAAAACTTGAAAATTCAACAAATTTGAACCATCCAATACTTCAAGTTTCATGGTACAATCATCTTAGTCAAACAATGCAAACTTTACCAAAAAGCCTGTCCATCTTGATCCAGACATATCCTTAAAGGGTTCAGAAATTTATAAGATCAGCTACCTCTAAACTAAATTAAGCAAAACCACAAAACAATATCTTGTCAATTATGAAGCAAACCCATTACGAGCTCCCAGCAGGGAGAAAATGGAAATACCTCTAAAATGCCCAAGTTCCTCCAATGATTTTGCTTTCAATAAAATTGCTTCCAGAAGTAAGCTCACTGAATGCATCGACATCACACTAGGAGGGATAATGTCACCTTTGGACCGTGGTTTCCGATGCCTGGTTCTCTCAACAATAGCCCTAGTCATCCTAGGGATCAAACCTTTAACGTCAATACCCTGAAAAACCTGCAGCGCAGCATCAAAATTCCCTCTTTGATACTCTAGCCTCCCCAACAAAGCCCTTGCTTCCTGGAAATTCATTCAAAAAACAAAACTAACTAGCTTGCAAATTATCAATAGATGAATAGATTGGTTTGGAAAAAAATCCACCTCATAGTTTAAGGAAAGGGCTTCTTTGAGAGTGGATTCAACTTCATCCACTTGGACATCCTCAAGTTTTGATTCCCAGTCTCCAGTCCGAGATGAGAGTCCACTGGCTGAGAAATCCCTGGTCGCCAAGGATTCCGGCGACTGTGGAGCGTCTTCAAACTTGAATTGTTCACCTGAACAAGCACACAACATCTTCTCCAAAGAAACAACAGCCTACAATCTCAATGTCAAAACTCAAAACCTGGAAAAAAAATGAAAATGAAGCATCACATTTTGACTGTTTTGCAAAAAAAAAATGATCGAATTGCAGTTGAACTTTTACGACATATGAAACAGTTTACAAGATAAAAAAACAGAAATGAAAATCCACAAACAAGTACCGATTACAGCAACAAACCCCTGATAAAAATGATTGAGCTCAAAAGAAAGAAAAATGAAAAGGAGGCAAAAATGTTCGCGGGCGGGGGGGCGAGGAGGGGACAAAGAGTAAGTTATACAAAACACCAATAACAAGAAGACAAGGCGTATTTAAAGAGAACAAGAACAAAGTGCACAGGAAATGAAAAGGGCGATACGAAAGAAGAGAGCAGAGCTTTGGACTTACCAAAAACTTCAAAAAAACAAAACAAACCGTGACCCTGGCAGTAGTCGTTTACGCCATTGAAAGCTACTTCTCCTCAGAAAAACTCTTGTTTCTCTGCTTTCTGGGTTTGTTTCATTTCATCATATTCCTTTCTTCCAAAAAAAAAAATGGTAAGTTGCTAACAACTGAAACCAAATACATAAAAAATAAATAGTGAAGTGGCTTTAGGGATCTGATTGAGAGATGGGCATTTGTTGTTTTGCTTAATTTAATACTACAAAAGAGTTTTTCTGCATGTGTGAAGTAGAAATATGGGGTCTATACCAAAGGTGGTTTGCAGGGGCAGGAGGCTAACAGATATACACATAGATTCTTTCTCTCTCTCTCGCTTTTTTTGGCCTTTCGGAAATTTCCCAACCAACCCCCGCCCACCTCTCTTTTTGATTTAGACGCCACCATTCCATTCCCAAACTGCCCTCCCCTCCTCTACCACCAGCATTTCGGCTACTACGTTGAATTGGGTTCCCTACATTTATTGCCAAAATTTAGGGAGATAATAGATTCATGGACCAAACAATTATTGGATTGTCACACCTCGGAATTAAAAAAAAAAAAAAGAAATTTGCTCTTCAAATTTCCCGCAATTTTTACTCGAAATTTATACTAGTACTAGCTTGGAAGATATTTACACCACTAGACTTACTAGTCTTTGCCCCTATGGTTGAGGACATTATTTTTTCCAATAACTTAATGCTGTTGTACATCAAGTAGAGAAGCCTGAAATGAAAACTTTAACCAAAAAATAGAAAAAAAACCAAAGCTTATAGGGTAAGTTTGGTATGCAAGAGGATAAGATAAAATAAGAAATAGGAAAGTGATTGGATTAGATAATATCATTTTCTTTTTATATTTGGTGTGTGTAAAAATTACAAGAAAGATAAAGATGAAATTTATTTTTTATCATTTTTAGCAAATATGCTTTTATTTATATTTTTTGTTATAAATATGATTCAATTTTATTTACATTTGAGTATTTAACTCATTAATTGGTGTATAATCCCTTTACTTAAAGAGTAAAGTTTGAATACCTTCTTTTCTAATTAAAAAAAATATGATTTAATTTTATTTGTCGAAAATATATATAGTTTAAATTTATAATAATTCCTCAATTGTGTACTATAAGGAAGAGTGACTTCAAATTACTGTTGTGAAAAATATGATCGACGAGCAATGCTGGGTGAGGAAAAGAAGAAAAAAATGATATTTTGATTAATCAATTAAGTAATGATACTTGTCATTTTAAAAAGTTTAATTTTTAAGAATGAAATAAAAAATATAAAAAAAATAATGATCAATCCATAAAATTAAAAATAATCCATGATATTTTGATAGGATTGAGTCATCTTATATTAAGAAGATGATTCATCCTATCTGTAATCCAATAATCCCTTTTAAGTGTACATCAAACATGAGATAGAATGATTAGTATCTTATCCTCTCCATCATGCTCCTCATTAATGATGGAGAAGTTGGAAGGAGAAAGAGGAACAAAAAGAAAAGGTAAATTTGAATATGCATTTTAAAATTTGGCACCCGGTCGTTGAAAAGCCATAATCAACTTTGAATTCAAAGTATGGCATTGCCAGAGAGGAAGCTGAGCACTTGGCAGACTTGGCCTTCCATTCAATTTTGTGATTCCAACTGGCATTTTAAATATTCCCATCACAAAGAAAGGGGGGGTTAAAGAATCAATTTCCCCATAAATAGCATCATGCACATGTAAATTGGGGGTCTTCCTTTGCACAAGAGGTTGTGTTTCAAGAGATAGTTAATTCATAATTTGAAAAAGGCAAAAACACAAAGTGAATTCAAAGCTACATATTTTACAGATAGGAATAGAAATCAAGTCCATTTTCTCTAATTTAATATTGCTTAAGATTAACATTTGAGTTCCCCAGTGGACAAAGATACAGCTTTGACAAGTTTTAATCGTAAAATAAGAGGGAACAGTGCATCATGGTAACATCATTATAAGGAAGCTTTATTGACTGATTTCCTTCCTGTTTTTTTTTTTTTTTTGCTTGTGAATTCTAATGACGGTCACACGGGCACAGTGCTCAAGAAGAATCGAGCAAGAACCGAAAGATCCAGACATAATGCAACATAATTAGCGGATTTATGTCTGCTTTTTGTACTCCCTTCTAACTTTTTAATCCTTTAGCTTTGAAAATAAAATAAAGGTCCTTGCCAGAATCTCACTCATTCAACCCTCCAATGTCTCCTCAAAGTCAATGAATTCCCATTCGATATGGTTCACCTGACTCAACAGAAAGAACCCGTTTCTCATCAATTTCTATTGGTTTTAATTAGTGAGCTCAATAATTGAATTCATCTTTGAAACTTTGATGGTTGGATGTGATTATGGAATAATCTTTTGTCATAATACCTAGTAAACAGATGGAGGTTAGTAGTACAAGGACTGGTTTCCAAATGAGGAAAAGGCGTCCACACGTAGCCTATCAGGCAGTCGTGATAATGAGAACTTGAATTCTAAGCAAAACCCATCTGTTCATGCAAGAGGTAAACTGTTCATCCAAAAAATATGGTCCGAGACTAATGATGGTATAGGATACCATCTCTTGACTCATATTTCTGTTTTGATTGACAAGCTACATATCTCAGCAAAAGTTAAGTTCCACAGAGCAATTATACTATCAAATTAGGTACTTAGTTCCACTGCCATTGGATGTTTAATTAAAAGCATGTTTAATTGTTGTTTACAAATTCCTGATTAACATCACGGGCACACTTTCATATCTTAACAATGTATGTGAAGAGTCTCTTCATCACTCTAAAATTCTAAGGCATCTGATCAATTGATCAGTTGCTGTTAATTTCACTCTCACATCCTTACTGATCTGACAATTAGCTTGGCATGGAAGGTATCATCCTTGCAGAAATTTCACAAACTGATGCTAGTAATACAAAAGCAATCAATGTCCTTATGGCACATTGTGATAATTTTACGTGTTTCTTTTTAAGGAAGAAACCAGAAAAGGTCCAAAACATGGTGGGATGATGAACCAAAGGAACTCACAGGGTTGGGGGAAAGTAAAGGCGACAGGCCATGCAGAAAGGCCAAAGGAAGTACTACTACTTTCCTGTGCAAAGAGAAAAAGATATCACGTGATAGGGTACCCTTTTCTTTCTTCTTGTCGCAGATTCTATGGCAAGCTGTTGAGTACCAGAAGGAAAGAAAGGCATGCAAAGGGCTGTTGTCTTACGTTTTTTATCCAAAAAAAAAAAAGTCTCTAACATGCTGAGCTCAGACTTCCTTCCTCTTTTTTTACAGCTATGTTAGGAGTTCAACTCTTCCCCTCTCCCACCACCTAAAAATATTGCTAGATTCCCATTTTCTTCCCAGATATTGTTAAGTAAGGTTGGTAGAATTCTAATGAATACATAGAACCTCCATTGTTTGCTGACTTGAAGCTCCCCATCCTCTCCATTGACTTGACTCCATGGAAATTTATATTTAAAGAAATTGAAAGGGACATCAGAACAAATCGATTGGCTTGACATTCAATACTGCTGGCAAAGACAATCTTGGAGTTTTTGTTAAGCAGCAAATTCAACGTCACGGCAGGGATTAAAAGTTTGTCCGTCCTCTATCAGGAATTCAATGCATAGCTAGACAGCTAATGACCTAATGCAGTCCACGTGAAGCATATTTCTGAATGGATCATTTCTTATACATCAGTTGGCATTAATTGATGTGTACTACACAGAAGTATTCAAAGGTTTTCCTTTCTTGTTATTACTAGCTAGTGCTTTTCTGTTAAATTGTATGCATGTTGGTTTTTGTATGATAAAAAAATCATCGTTAACTGAAACGAAGAAACCTAAAATTTTATCTAAATCCCCATCTCATTTAATTTTAAGGTTATAAACAACATTTTATTAGGATTTTCTAGCACTTGTCAAATTAACCATAAAAGCATATTGTCTGAACTTATTACGGTTCCTCCGTTTTGGACATGTTCTTTTTTGGGCTCAGAGTCCCATGGTTGATGGGCCAACTTTAGAGGTCTCCAGGGTCAAACCCAAGAGTCTAAACCCATTAGCCATGGCCCATAAACCCATCAATGAAAGAAGTGGGCTTCCCCCTGCACAAATCATCCTGTTGATGAAGAAGCTCTATAAACCTATGGACTGAGACTGAGAGAAGTCAGAAACTCGAAGGGACGGAAGGTAACTGCCAAACATCGAAGTAGTCTACCTTGGGGTTTATGCCTTTTTATATTTGAAATCAACGTTCAAGTTGTAACTGAGAAAGGCTGTGACGGGGAAAGAGCAAAAGCAAAGAAAAACAGAGAAAAATTTTTAAAGTTGAGGCCGAAGAGATGCTAGGAGAATGTGGAAGGAAATCGGAGATAGAGAAGCGGGTAAAATCCGCCCGAATTCATTTTCAAGTCGGATCAAATCCAACCGGATTTCCAATCTCCAGCTCTCCAATCACAAAGACATCGTTTCTCCTCACAGAGGTTCCATCAACTCCCTTCAGGTACACAATCCCTACAATTTCCTGCTTTCAGCTGCTTTAAGATTATAAAATCTAATTTTCATTGAAACTTATGGCTGTGTTTGGATTATCATGTAAATAGGTGGATTTGACTGAGGGACGATATTTGTTATCCGGTGCATCTGATGCATCAGCTGCTGTTTATGATGTTCAAAAAGCTACTAACTATGAGGGAAATGGTTTAATTGCCAAACACAAATATTTGTTTTTGGTAGATAAGCAACACGAAAAGGGACATAAATATGCCATTTCCTCGGCCATTTGGTATCCTGTTGACACGGGATTATTCGTTACGGGTTCTTATGATCACTGTATTAAGGTTTGGGATACCAATACGACGCAGGTATTTGGCTTGCGTTGCTATGTTTGGATTGTGGGAAGGAATTCTGGGTGTGCTTTTGTTGTTTTTTGTTTTTAAGTCTGAATTTTTTGTTATGTTTATGTTGTAGGTGGTGATGAATTTTAAAATGCCCGGAAAGGTTTATAGGACTGCGATGTCTACATTGGCAACGTCTCATATGTTGATTGCTGCTGGAACCGAAGATGTGCAAGTTCGCCTTTGTGATATTTCTTCAGGGGCATTTGCTCACACTTTGTCTGGCCACCGTGGTATGCTGAAAGTTTGATGGACTTATTTCCTTTCCCTTTTTTCTTTGCTCCTAATCGATTGGTACTTATTGGTGTTAAAAGTTTTCATGTGGAACTTTTACTCATACTTTACATTCTATAAAATTTTTATGAAACTAAGGGTACAGATTTTTTATGGGTTGTCTGAGATATGCTGCATGTGACATCTGGCTTCCAGGGTCTATAATGTATCAGCAATTATGGTGAATTGATGAAATAAAAGACAAACTTCTCCAATCTGAGCCTTGCTTTTGAGGTCCATTGCGATCAATATATTCTTGTCTTAGCTGGAGTTAGACAAGAAGTTGTCTAACGTATAGGTTCTTTGGCTGCAGGACTATGATGTCATATTGTTATGCATATGTAGCAGCTTATACTGATTTTGGACCAGCACTGCAACCAGAGACCTCTTCTTTTAGTCATATTTTGGTCCCTTCAGCCTAAATGTATGAACTCTTCTTTCTAACTGCAGTTGGCTGCCATGGACAACAAATATTAGTGTGTTTTCATTTTTGGGATGGGGAAGGGGTGGTGGGGGGGAAGGGTATGCTTACATTTCAAATGCCACTTTTTGGAAATCACGGTAGAAAATATCTCTTCCCCTTGACTGAAATAGGGGTTTATCATTTCCATTATTGAACCATGACCTCATAGCTCTTGGGATGCTACTGTTTTGATTCTGTTCTGTTCTCACTTTTCACTCTTGGCACACGAATTGTAATGTTGAAACTGTTTCTTTTTTTTTTTTTTTTTTGAGAATTGTATTGTTGAAACTGTTAACACGAAATGATAAGTATTGTGTGATTTTCATGGTGGCAGATGGCATAATGACTGCAGAATGGTCTACTTCCAGTGAGTGGGTCTTGATAACAGGTGGGTGTGACGGTGCAATTCGATTTTGGGACATTAGACGTGCTGGATGTTTTCTTGTTTTGGATCAGTCCCAGTCCCAGCTTGGAAGACGTCCACCTGTACTGGGTCGTTCTGCTGCAAACAAGGTATGCTCGTTGTAAGCTAGGTTTATTGCATCAAAATTACTTCCGTCTTGATTATTGTTCTTAATATTGCAAAATGGTTTCAAGATCACAACTTTCCTTTCGCTCTTAATACTTAGAATTTATTGCAGATAGTTGTAGAAGTAGTCTTCCCTTTGTCTAAATCATATAGAAGTGATCTTTTTAATCCCACCCTTCTTTAATGGATACTGAGAATGATCACAATCCTAGTAAACCTTGTTCTGGATTGTTCTGCTGTAAGACCCTCCTGATCCATGTGTCAGGGATAATCTTTATGTTTCTTTGTTCTATGTGAATGTTTATGGCAGGATGGATGGGACTAAGAAGAGATTGACAATATTGTATAACCATTGTCCTGGTACCAGGAGCGGAAACCTTCCACCCCCAATACTATATCTAGTTTTGTGGGTTTTTTAGTCCTACCTGCTCTTTCTTTTGGTCCTCTAACTCTTTTTCTTAAACAGCTCTTCATAACAAGAAATAGATGTAGTTGCTTGATACTTATTTTATGATGTAAAACTCTTTCTCTTATCTCATGAATTTGTTTTTCTTTTCTTGGTACCCTCTCAGGTTTCAGTCTCAAAGTTGACATCAGCTGGCCAAAGCTCATTGGTAAAATCACGAGCACCACAAAAGAAATATGCTAATGGGCATGGCATAAAGCAGTCAACCATTGGTCGAATGCCAGGTAAGGGTTCTGCAAGACAAAGAGTACATCCAGGGATGCTGTCCATTCAGGATCGTGCCACCGCTCATTATGGTGCTGTAACTGGTTTGAAAGTAACTGAAGATGGCATGTACCTTCTAAGTGCAGGTTGAGTTTTGACCATTTCCTATGCAATTAATTTTTGCTAAAGCTGGTTCATAGTAGTTGATTGGTGTTCAATATGTGTTATTGGGGAACCTATGGTAGTTGAGTCAGGTAGCTTCTAAACAATTGTTACAAGGTACCATTTGGATGACTACATGTATGCATGTGCAGAAAATTGATTAAGATAATGTTACAAGGTACCATTTCCAAACTTGCAAGCAGGAAATTAGTAACTACTGCTATATTAATTGGTTCAAGGCTTAGTGACATCCATTTGACTGCTAAGTTGGTTTTATATAGTCCACTGTGATTGCCTAGTAAACTATAAGTGAAATTAATTTAACCTTCTTGTTTTGACCTTGGCGGATATTTTCTTAATTTTTGCGAAAGTTTTTTTTTTCCTCATACGATATAATTAGCTAATCATCTTTTCAAATTACACAGTAATGATCCTTCTCTCTTTCTCTCTCTTTTAATCACTTTGTCTTTTTATTTTCAGGCTCTGATTCAAGAATAAAGTTGTGGGATCTTGAATCTGGCTACAATACACTTGTAAACTTCGAAATGGTCCGCCTACAGACAAGCAAGGCAATTCAGTTAGCCATATCTCAGGATTCAGCTCATGTTTTTGTCCCTTGCATGGCAGTCGTGAAAGTAAATATTCTTTCTATGTCATCATTGTCTTTGGTTTTCTGTGAGTATAGTTCACATTTATAATCATCTCATTCTGGCTATGTTTACACCTTAAACATCTCTTCAATTTTGTAGGCATTTGATGTTTGGTCTGGTAAAATGTCCCTTGCATTTCGTGGCCACTATGAATCTGTGAACTGTTGTTGGTTTAGTTCACAGGATCAGGTATGAACCTAAACTCCTTACATTTTTCTGAGGCTGCTTGATTATAGTTATGGACAAGACATGGGCGAGCCATGACATCTCCACCTGTTGATTATATATTTGTAGGTCAGAGACATAAAGTATGTGATGACTTTCATACTATATAATGCTATTTTGGATAGAAATGTTTGTTCCATCTCTGTCTTGTAAATAAATGATCGTACTTTTGAAGTGCAACAGTTGAAATAATTCTATGAAGTCATTATAGGACCAATCCAATTTCATCTAAGTTAATAAATTGCTTACTAAAAATAAGGCTATTGATTTTCATTCCGTAATTTAAAGATAAAACCAAGCAATCTAACTTGATCTTATGTAGAAGACTGCTTTTGCTAAAAAGCTTGACCTGTCACCTACTTTTGCAGGAATTATACACAGGCGGCAGTGATCGACAAATTCTTGTCTGGTCTCCACGCAAATCGATTTCTGATGACATGGTACGTGTTCTAAGTTGAAGATCCATTTTCGTTTCCTTTGCTGCATCTCATTTGGTTTTGTCTACAAGCATGTGCTAAATACATCAAGCTGTTGATGAACAGTACCTTAATTAGTTGCCATTGAAAATGCAGGATGAAGGACACGCCAAAGATCAGGATAATTGGAGTGACTAGAATCTGCTACCACATCAATTTATTCCATATATCCCATGCCATCTATAGCTTTTTCTTCCACTTGTATATATTAGATGTATCTGTATATCCACATTTATTTGCTTCTTGTCAATCATTTTTGCCGTTTTATAGTCTGTTGTTCTTTAATAGGATATTATGTATACAAGAAATTACATTCAATGAATAATTTTCAGTTGTTCTTTTTTTAATATAAATTTATATTTGACCCCTAATTGTTTTTTGTTAAGCTGGATTCTGACCTTAAACCTCTTTATACTATGTATCATTGGAAGAGAACTGAGATATATGAAGTTCGCGTCCAGGCTGAAAATGGGTCCTGGATCACACTGCTGCAGGCTCCTGCATTCTGCTTCTTATCTTCTCTTGATTTTGGCTTCTTGTGGTATGGAAATAGCCATCCTTTGTCCTATGTTATTAACCTTATAACCAGTCCTTAATCCAGATCCTTGCTCATCAAAATAGTAAATGAGATTCGATATCGGCAAAACAACCGATTATAGTTGTTAATGAATAAACTCAGAAATGCAATTGAAGCTTTCTCCCGACATGCAACCATACAAAATCTACTTGCAGCTCACCATTTCAGAAAAGCTGATAAGCTTTGGGACCAAAATTACTCAGACAAAAGTACCTACCTTAAGGATCCATGCAATACTTTCCCCAGACATAGGCACTGATAATTAAGCCCTTGCATTGGAAGCAAATGACTAGTGCATGGTGGTCTCCCAAGGGTGTAATAACAAAAAGGCAAATCAAGGAATGTATTAAGACCAACTTTCCAAAAACAGAAGAATGTATTCATACCTTTCGCAATGGGCAAAACATAGTAATAATTTAAGTTCATTATAAAACTAAGTATTTCTCAAACTGAAGCATGATCTTAACAATGAGGACCTGAAACTATATCTAGGTTATCCTCATCTATCTCCTCTTACAAAGATCATTAATTGTCCTCAACAACATTGAGATTCCTATTGAGGGTGAGTTAAATTAAGGAGCAACAGCAAGAATAATGTACAATCAGGTAAGTAATGTTAATATAGTAGCATTAACGAGAATAATTACAAAAATATTTTATAGAGGTAGCAAATAAGTTCAAGGAATGATATTGGTACCATGTGAAAAGTACAGAATACAAGAATATGATTTATCAGTCTATCACAAATCCTTCTGTGTCTTTAAGTGTTTTTGGCACATTATGGTATCCTGAAAATCTAGGAAAGTATATTGCAAAAGTTTTGATCTCTCCTCATCTGTCATCTGGGAAAACCCAAAGTTCTGGGTCCATGTGTCGACCGTAGCAGGCACTGCAGGTAAAACCAGCTTCTCCACCCCGAATTTCATCAGATTCTTTTCAAGTTCATCCAACAAAACTCGACACATACCACGACGACGGTGACTGAACCTGGTAGCAACGAGGGGCATCTCCGCCACCCTGTCCCCATATATCCTCACAGTAGCCACAGTAACCAAATCATCATTTTCCTCCAGAATCACC